GATCAGTTTAGCCGTTTTGACGTTTTTTGGAATACAAACAGACTGGCAAGTAAATTGTATAGATAGTTATTTCTTAAATGATTTGTCCGTCCATATTAATATATTAAATACAGTTTTTAAATAGTGGTTGATCTTTTATTTATGTAGGTTTAATATTTGCATTAATTATTTATTTTCAGAAATAAGTTATTGGTTCACAATGGAGGTGGAAAACCGAATACTCCTGAAAGAGAACGGCAGAATGTTTGATGAAAACCGAAACCTGAAATTGGAAAATCAGAAACTTAAAAATCGATTTCAATTGTTTACAAATAAACTAGAAAACTTGTTAGACGAGCTAAAATCTGAAACGGGTTTGGCATATACGGGGAAATCTCCGCGGATTTTTCTTGCTGGAGATTCCACAGATCAAACTCAGGTTAAAGAAGGTATGTATCAGGCCTAGAACACAATTCTGATGTAGGGATGGGGGTTATGGGCATGCATATGAATGAAACACTCTCATTTTCCTTGGTCTGAAAGAACGCTTTCGTTGGTTATTTTCTAGTAATGGGTTCTAAGGCCCCCCCCCATCCTATATTTTTAATACATGCTTCTTAAACTAAGCAAATATCCTTGCCGCCGCGCTCGGCCCAGAAATGTGCTTAACCTAATTTAATTTAGGAATAATAATAAATAAAGTTGAATTTTATGTGCAACAATAGTTTTGTGGAAAAAAAATTATAGGAGGGGTGCGGGGTGGAAGGTTAAAAAAACAATATAGGGACTAAAATCCTATTTTTTAACCTGTTAGAATAAGTATATTTTTAAACTATTTTCAGAAGAGACTGTAAGTACTGATCCTACTGAAGATATGATAGAAGAACCTTCACATCTAATGAATCCATCAAATCTGAGTGATCCTTCACAACTGTTTAATCCTTCGCCTATAATTTCTCCCCTACACCTGGTTGATCCTACGGAAATGATAAATCCTACAAAGATTCTAAAGATCGAACATTTTGCTGATCCTGAAGATACAGCTGATCCCTCTGATCCTGTGGATCCATCGGATGATCCTACCAACGATCTTGATTTCCCTGGAGATGAAGATTACCAGGAGGTTGTGGAGTTTCCAACTCTAGCAGGAAATGTGGAGGAAGGAACAGATCAGTTTTATCAACAAGAAGATTTTCAGCAAAATACATTTGAAGGAAAGGAAGCTTTTATGTGTGATAAATGCGCGTACTTTGCTTTGGACAAATCCACGCTGAAACGTCACAAATCAATCGTACATTCTGGAAACAAGATGCTGGTCTGCGATTTCTGCAACTTTCTGGCCACCACTCAATCTGCTCTCAACAATCACAAGAAAACTAAACATCCAATACTTACATTTTCATGTCCTAGATGCGCTTTTACTGGGAAAAATAACGCGGAACTGCGCCGGCACGTGAAGAGGGTTCATCAAAAGTGCGGAATTCCGTTCTCGTGTGATGAATGTGGAAATGTTTTTGCTAGTCATAAGCGGTTGGGTTTACACAAACAAGTGGAGCATAATCTTGTCAGGTTTCCTTGTGACGAGTGTGATTATATTGCAGGGGACAGTTATAATCTGGGTCGACACCATAGACGCAAACATCAGAACATTACTCTCCCATGTGATCAATGCGAGTATGTGGCGAGAGATGAACATGCACTTAAGCATCACAAGAAAAGCAAACATTATAAATTCTATTTTTAAGTTTTTTCGATGGTCTAAACGGAAAAGGCTAATAATAACTTCCTAAAATTAGTTCTTTTTCTTAATATTGGTTTTAATATGCATTAGTGATTCTTCTTTACTGTTGAGCGTTGTATTTAAAACATTAGTACAAGTAACAAACACTGTACCTAAATTTCTTGGTAAGGGCAGATAATAATTACAAACCATTTAAATGTAAAATTTGCAAACCATACTGACGTTTTCACAAATAAATGAGTGAATGCGAAATTATGTATTTTAAAAGTGTGCATTTGAAACCCCAATGTTAGATTTAATGTTTGAATTTGTAAGAAAAAATTTAATTTGTCTTGAATTAATCTTCTCTTTTTTCAAAATTTTCATTAAAAAAGTTAAATATTCTTAAGATTAAAAGTTTTAACTTTGCAGGTGGAAACCGTAACTTACAATCTTATTATAGCCTAGCCAAATTTTCGTCAGTTTTAGTTCATACATAAATTAATGTAATTGACTACATTTTTTTACACCATGCTAAATTTTACTTATTTACAACCAAAACACAAATAAAACCGTTCACTAGAAATAGAAAATAAATATATTTGCACATTCCTTTCGGGAATGTTTTTTGGTTTTCTTTTACAGTTCTTTCTTGCATAGATTTGTTATAAAAAAATTTAAATACCGGCCAAAGTGTTTTGTCATTTTCGATAGAATTAGTTAGCAAACTTTTTGCATGGTGAAATCAATATTTTTTTTTTGTTGTTTGACAAAATTAAATTTTTACCCTGAAATTAAAAAATAGTAAATTTTGATTGATTGATAAATATTGTTTTAATTATTAATTTTGAAACTAATTTAATCTCATATTATATTTATTATTTATTGATAAAATAAAAGCGTTAATTCAAAATTCTCGTCTGTAATACTTCTGTTTGAACCATTTGAGAGTCATTAATCATTATCAGTATTTTACTACTGTTTTTATTAAATGTAACTCCGTATCATGTTTTGATCTCATGTTAACCCTGTGTTTTACGTTTTTAAAGTTTCATTTTGCGTGGGTTTTGAAGGTTTAAAATATTACAATTTTATGATCTCCTCTTCTCTGTAGGAAATCTGGTTCCACTGCTAATTCTAGAAAAACCTAGTTATAAAACGTTAGAAATTAAATTGACAGAAGAGAATTGTCTCTGAATTGTCGTTTTTTAAGGGGGGCAAAATTTCTTAACAATTATTTACCTTTGAATATAACTTAATTCAAATTAACTAATTCTCCATTTTAATTTTCGAAAACATAGATGCTTTCTTGGTTAAGATTTCTCAATCAATAATATGGAAGATACTGTCGCATTTTTCTCGCCATTTTCCCAACAACCCTATTTTCAAGATATATATAAAAAATTGAGATCTCTTAAATCTTTTCTACATGTTAGTACGGTCATATTGTGTTCAAATATGTTGAAATTTTTATTTCTGAGAATTTAATTAGTTAAATTTCAGAATCAAAATGGAGGCGGATAGGCATGGGCAGGGTTTGAAGGAGGAGAATGAAAATCTTAAACGAGAAAATAACAATCTTGTATACCGTATACACCTCTTCGCACAGCGACTGGAGAACCTGCTCGAAGAGCTGAGATCTGAAACCGGTTTTGATGTTACACGTGTTCAGCTTAATAGTTCAGGTAAACTCATTTCACTTGACGTAAAATGGCTCCAACTAGAATCCACTCAGGGCATAAGTTCGTTGGAGGAGTTGGAGCCATGATTAAGTCATTTCGAGGGATGTTCTTCTGTAGCTTATTTTGTTCAAAGCATGGCTGGCGAGGTTGGGTCATAGTTTGAAAAATGACCTCAGCTCCCCCCGGCCACCCTCCACCTCTTTTAAAATTTGATTTTTTTTAATAATTCTATGGGCAAATTATAAAATGCTATATTTTTTAATTTGTTTTGTAATGATTTGGAAATAAAATAATGTTATAAGAAGTATGAAGCAATTAATTTGTTCAATTTTAGTTGAATCCGGCGAAATTTTGAATAAATCTATCGAAAAATCTGTCTTCTCATCAGAGATTAACATCAAACCGATCTTCCCTCCAACACAGCAGATTCGTATTCATGACGTCTATCACATAGATTTACAATCTTCAAAAAATCCACCAAATTCAGTCCAGGAAAAATCTGCAATAGAGAAGAAATCCGTTGAAAATATGACCGGAAATCCTGTTCAAATTATTAAATGTGAACCTGAATTTTGGCTGGATGATCCAGATCCAATTCAGGACTCCTGGCAGAATGAAGAATATCCAATTGAACAGGAAAACTGGGAAAATGAACAGGAACACCAGGCTCTTGAACAGGAACATTGGAATATACTCCAGGAACCTCCAGTAATAGAACAGGAACTTATTCCTGAAGTAATTCCCTCACAACGTAAAAAACGCAATTCAACCCATACTGCTTCCGAAGTTCATGTTAAGACCGCCATTGGGAAAGACGATGATTGGAAGAAAGAATTAAGACGGAATCGTAAAAGAAAATACAAGAGGAAGAAACTTCAGTCTGGAAGCAAAGGATTTAAATGTAAGATTTGCGGACGCCTTTTCCCTTCGACTTTTGAAAGAAGAGATCATACCAATTCTGAACACTATCATCTAAGGCTTGAATGTGATCAATGTGATTTCTCCACGTTCTATAAAAATATTCTGCTTAATCACACAGAAACTGTCCACCTTGGAATTATTCACACGTGTGATATTTGTGGAGATACTTTTGGTTATCTTTCAGCAATGAAGCAGCATAAAAGAGTTAGACATGAAAAAATTCCCTACCCCTGTAGTCATTGTGGACTTCTCTTTAAAAACCCATCGGCCTTAAGATCGCACAAAAGACACCACTGACCTAGTAAACCTCTGATTTAATAAACCCCACATTTTTTGGGAGTGGATTTATATTACATTTAGCCTTAAGGTCAAATTAAACTATTAATTAAAAAAAATCGAATTTTGGCCGATGCTCGATATAGAAAATTTAGTTTGTGTTAAATTAGTATTCGAATTCAAAATTGTAGTATGACTATTTTTATTTAATTAATTCTTTGTTTTGTTTTCTTAATTATTTTCTTAATTATTCATTTTGTTTAGTGCATTGTTAAAACTTTTGTGGTGTAAATCCCGGGATCAAATATTTCTCCGTATCTTGTGAAATCCTACGGATTATATTAATTCCTCGTGGATATCCAGGAAGGAAAAACTAAAATTGAGAGATAAGAATTTAATAGCTGTCACACAATATATCGGGATCATTCATTGAAGATTAGCGCTAGTTCCGACAATAACCTTGTTATATACTTAAAAGATAAATTATAATTCTAGATTTTAAAAAGCTAAGCTGTTTTTAATGTTATTATGTTTTGTTTGCCATTGTAAGAATAAAAGGTCTGAAAAATTAGATTGAGAAGTAAGAGGAGTTTTCTTTGCTGAATATAATAGTAATGGAAAATTGAACAATAAGATCTAAATTATCGATCTGTTGTTAAATAGATTGATCTAATGTTCTATATTCATCTTAGAATTTTTCAAAATATACATCTTTTAATTTGATTATCTGCTTAACCATTTGTACCATGCTAAGATATTGACCCATTTTTTAATACGCTCTGTCCCATATCATTAAATTATATCACATTAGATAATCTCCAAGTTTTAACACCAAAATAAAGCCATAATACTCGAAAACCCTAGCATTTTCCGCAAGGAAATTCTTATTAAATTTTTCAAAATTATCCATTCTTCTTAAATTTTCTGATTAGTCTCTAAAATCGTAACATCGACTAATTGACTATCTAATATGACGTGGGACACGGTATATCAACAGGTTTACCGTAAAGACGACCTAAAACAAATATAACGATCCCATGGTTAAATATGAGGCTTCTGCTTTGAGGGATAATTTAATTCTTTTACCATTGAAAAAAGTTAGCGGTTGTGGGGAGTCATGAAGACAACAGTCGTCCGTTAAGTCTCTTCCTTTGTGAGTAGCTCTGAATGAAATTTTCTATTCGACCCTTGTTGAGAAAAATTTCATATTTTAAAAATATTTAATTTCAAATGAAAAGCATTGAAAGATCTCTAAGCATTTGTAAAGCCATACAATCAGATTTAATTAACCTAGATAAAACTTTCGAAACTTCTTATTATACTTTAAGTATTACTCTTTTGTGCTGATCTTTCTGCATGCAAGAGATACAATAATGTGTATACATTGCGAAATTACAGAAACTAATATCTTAATAAGATTACTTATTTTCAATGATTAGGGTTAATTTTTATTTTCTCAACCTGTTCCTTAAGAACTAATTAGTTTACTGTAGAATTTTTGTTACATTTTTCGTAGTCAATTAATAATAAAAAAAACTGATTCTCAAAATCATCCCTCCAAAATGGACAATCTTTGATAAGTTTTAAATATTGAATTTCCGTTCTTGCTGAACGAAATACTTACCGTAAAAACGTCTGATAAGTCTCAAATGAATCCTAAAAAAAAATCTCTTTAATACTGCATTTTCAGCTTAACTACCATGTCAAGCCAGACACTCCCTTTAAAAACAAACCAAAACTAACAACCCAAATTGTAAGATAACAAAAAGGAAATTCAGTATAATTATCCCTGGTTTATGTGAGTTCCCACAAAAAATGTGTGCTTAATCGGTTCAGCCGCTTTGACGCTTTTCCGATTCAAACTGACAGACTCGACAGACAAGCCAGATATACTTTTTACAACCTCTTCATTACAGCTTTAAGCTAAATATCTAAAATAAAAATCTTGCAAGTATTGGCATTAATATAAAAATTAAAGAGCTTGAAGTATTGACCATCAATATATAAAATTTTATATAGAGCAATAGGATCAATATCTAAAAAAACTTATGATCTAAAATGACAAATATTAATCCCAACACGTCTAATCTAAATTATCAATACATCTAACAAATAAATGATATTTTGAACTCAGAATGTATTTATTAATCTATGTTATTACATACTATACAGGAACGTGTTATTAGGGTTTAAATTATGTTTCAACTTTTCAAGATTTCAGTAAAAAAGAATATATGTATATTTTGTGTTACAAATTTTCTATACAAGCAGAGCATCTATGTGATTTTGGAAGTAGGCAAAAACTTATTGATTAAAATTCTTTTTGTGTGTAAAATTAATTTATATTCATTGGTCGGTCTTTAGATCAATACAATGAAAACGACTTTTCTACTTAAATTTTAAAACTAGAAGTAAACAAAAAGAATCTGTTCTTTGACAGCTTCTCATAGCTTCCATGTTTGTGTATCCAATCCATTTTGTTTGAAAGCTTTGTAGAAATCTAAATTCGTCTTTAAAGTAATGATATATAAGACGATGACTCTAGTTTTTGTAAAATATCTATTTTATTCCGCGCATGGCATGCCAGTCGCAATCTTCGCAAAGTTCCGTGATGACGTCATAACCAGCCTGGTTGCAAATACCATCTGAAAAAAAAATTTGCTAAATTTTAGTAGTTGATTTTTGGATGAAAGTCCTGTAGTCCTGT